GAGTTTGTTTGATTTGGTTTATATTGAGTTTGTTTGATTTGGTTTAATAACACGATTCATCTTAAGGATGTGGATCATAAGCTTGTTAGTCGATACAAGTATGGTTCGGCAATAAATTGTCTAAACGAAACAATAAAAAACGACTTTCAACGTACATAGCACAAGGTCAATCGAACCATAGGATTTTACTTGTAAAAATCAAAATCAGTGTCGGGCTTCTTYACGTTGGTTCTGTAGCCCTTCTCGAAGTCCTTGGGAAGAATAACATATCGGTTCTTGCGGACTGCATGCATTCCTGCTTCTTGGCAAATTGCCGTGATCTGAATGCAATAACCATCCAAGTTTACATATTGTTCGATTTAAAAAGCAAAAATGAACGGGAAACTGCACGAAAACGACTTACCTCGGCAGCACTGATCTTGTCGGGCCGAGAAACATAATCTTCCAAGTCAACTTCRTCACTTAAATTCATTTTAGCAGTGCAAACCTACATAATTGAAGAGATATTAGAATCAAATCAGCCCGGTTCCTTACGGTTGTGTTTGGTATGCACATGGGACCGTACCGGACAGGCGGGAATAAGGTGCTAAGTTTTAGGGTTCTAATTTGAATGGGTATTTTAGTAATTTATCAATCTCGTTCATCTCCCTGATTTCTGTATCAGGGTTCCACACCACCTATTTTGGTAGGACATAAAACTGCATTGTTATCAATGTCACCCTAAATGTGGGACATGTTTTTTCCGAGAAGAAAAGATTCGCGTTCATTCTACCCCCCCCCCCCCCCAAATTCCTGGGTTTGACTGGTTTTCTTTGGCTTTATTAGAATCAAATTACAATTAACATCATAAATCATATAYCATCTCAAAACTACGTTATCAAAAATCAGGGGGATGGGACAAGATCCACAAATTATGTAAACCGCCCGTCTCAAATTAAAACCCTAGAACCTTCAACCTAGTCTTATCTAATCCACATAACAAACGTGCCACAGAGGACCAACTGACCAGTTGTAGCAAACTACTAAAAGAAGAAAGATATGAGCATTAAAAAAATTACCTGGAAAACAAGCCTCTTTTGTCGTCTATCAGGCAAAGGAAAYTCAATCTTGCGGTCAAGCCTACCAGGACGAAGAAGGGCCGGGTCCAAAGTATCAGCTCGGTTAGTTGCCATTATAACCTTAACATTGACGGTCTGRTCGAACCCATCCATCTGCAAACAAGCCAAATCCATGGTTTTATAAGTTCCAATCACTGTGCATCACCAAAGGGTCATTGGCCCAGCGGTCATGGGATCATTGGTAGATCTCAACCTCCATGGAGGTCAAGGGTTTAAGCCTCACCAAGAGGTGTGTGCGAGTTTTTGCCATATGTAAATTGTACTCCCTCCGTCCCAAAATAAATGCCCACAATGAAAAGGCATGTAGTTTTCAAAATGTGTAGTTATTACACTTTTCAGTTAACGAAATGACAATTTTACCCTTAATAATAGAGGGAGTGATCAGTTTCTACATCTCATAATTAACTAAATGACAACTTTACCCTTAACAACAGAGGAAGTAATTAATTTCTTCATCTCATAATTAAGAGTAGGATTGGAAGGTCGGCACTTCCAAAAGTAGATACGTATTTTGGGAGGGGCAGAGTATATACTCTCAAAAGAACTGGGCATCACTTACAACAGAACCAACAAATATAAACAATTTTTAGGAACAAATCAACATGAAATGGTTCATCRAACCTTTCATGAGCTATTCAATTCACCTGATTTAAGAGTTCCATKAGAATTCGCTGCACTTCTCTATCAGCTCCAGTCTGAGCATCAAACCTGGCAGTAGCAATTGCATCTACCTCGTCAATAAATATTATTGCAGGCGCGTTTTCTTTGGCAAGACGAAACACATCACGAACCATTCTGGGTCCCTACATATAAAGAATGGCTCAAATGAGATAATTATAGAAGTAATTAGTGATCCATCAGTAATCACCAAAGTTTAGAATACACAATATAGGAATAATAATACATGTTCTTTTTTCAGACCAAGTKATGAATGTGCAGAATTTCTAAATTCGATCTGGTGCTAAATATTGGTTATAAAAAGGATTTACGAAATCATATGCTACATTGCCTCAYATAAACCAAAATAAACGAATCCAGTATATTCCAAGTAAGGTCGGATTTAGGGTGTACGCAGACCTTGCCTCTACCCCAAGAGGTAGAGAGGTTGTTTCCGTGAAGATCCCCCGGTTTATAAAGCACTACAATGCACTACCTATTGACTGGCTACTAAGAAATAGCCGGAGGGAGAGAGAGGAAGACGCAGAAAACAAATGAAAGAACGATYTGAAGAAATATTTAATTAGATTTAGAGGGGTATCACATGATAAGCCAATATGGCAACAATATACAAACAAGACATGTGACGAATGTATTCTTTACTTATAATGTAGAAATACACACATGTTCTTTTTTTAAGACCATCATTTGAGTTTCGAAAATTTTCTAAATTTCATCCTAGTAGTAAGCTGTAGCTATGGATAAAAATAGTATATATATATATATATATATATAGAGAGAGAGAGAGAGAGAGAGAGAAAGGGGATACATGGTAAGCAGACGAGAAACCATGTTGAAGGAAAATTCAATAGAGCAGTTGACTCTCCCATTATAAACAAACCAATACGAAAATGATACATAAACAAGGAATGTGATGCACATACTATTTATAGAACACATTTGCTTCAATATCAATAGACCCCGCAATGCATATGATTTTGATGATGATGATTATATGTTCATAACCCACAAATCAGTGTATGAATAAAAGGCTGAGCAGAGAAAATGGTGGTAGAGAAAAGAAGACTGAAAAAACCAGGTACAGTCCTCACCAGGTTCAGGTAGCATTTTAATGAACTAAAAAGTTTGTTGAATTTCAGAAAGGGAGATGCTACTTGATATAAAGGCAGCAATTTCAACTCATTTATGTGAAAATGGATCARTTTGGTTTATATTTTATTGTCAATGGGTCTAACACATAAAATTACACTTTATTGAAAAGAAGGGTTTACAGCCTCATAAATTGCTTTATTAAAAAAAATCAGATCGTTATTTTAATAATGGGCTTTTATCATATTTAATATATAAATCATGATATATTTTGACCCACCCTAAAAGTGTTGGCAGGTTAACCCAGCACATTTTGACCCACCYTAAAATTTTATCCGTCTTGAGTCTTGACCCACTTGACCAATCCCCCACTCCACCTCCCAATTTTGCCATCTATACTCAATCCTTGCCATTCAACAAAATGGATAAAGTATATTGGTTCAAAACATTATCTTTAGTATGTACATAAAGACAAAATATGCGTGTGAACCAGTGGGTTGAAACAGCTCTATAGAAAACCTACCCTTATGTCCTGAAAAATGTGACTTTTTTCATCGTAAATTGCAAGAACAAGGGATTTAGTAATTTACTTGGGAGGATTTGTATATAATATATTATATATACATCAAATAGAATCTATGTATAGCACGTACACACCACTTCAACTCGATGTATTAAAAATGGAGAATAAAAGCATACCTCACCCAAATACTTCTGAACAAATTCTGAGCCAACTACCCTAATAAAGGCTGCAGTAGTATGATTTGCAACAGCTTTGGCGAGCATGGTTTTACCCGTGCCAGGAGGACCATAGAGCAAAACACCACGGGGAGGATCTATACCTATCTGTTTGTACAATTCATGATGGGTCAAAGGCAACTCAACAGCTTCGCGTATTTCCTGCTTTTGAATGTCACATCCTCCGATATCCTATCAAATCACATGGCATGAAACAGTATTATTAACTTTGCACAAACCATGTGGATCTCAAAGACATATAGCAACTGAATTAAAAAACAAACTTAAAATCCACATATGAAACCCGGGACAACAATAAACCAGAAGCAGTAGGAAAATCATGAATTACCATTTCTCAAGTTCAGTTTTCTAAGGCTTACTTTTGCTACTTAAACACAATCCAAACTTCCCTTGAAACCATATTTATATCATGCATGAAAATTGGCATTATAAAAATTGGCCGTACCTTCCCTCAATACACAGTATACTAGAAAAGACGCAAGTCAATTACCAGGATAACGCATTGTAACAATTGGCCGTACCTTCCCATCCCAACTAGCTAAAAGGTAAGCCGCCAGAGCTCGAAAACAACACAAAGCCTAACATCAACACATCCATAATAGAAAAGATGCAAGTCTATTACCATCATTCTTCTTCTATCATAAATCCATCACTAAATTAAGTGTTTTTAAATGCCATATGTGATGCCCTTTCTTCCTCAATCATCCTAATAACCAATACCTCTCTCTCTTCTTCCTTTTACTAGTTTAAAAGGTTCCAAAAATATCATTCAAAATAAGACAAAGCACAGACAGAAATGGCAGTGGTTTTGAATGAATAATATGTGTACCGATTATCAACTGCATATAACTAAATGAACAAACATCCACTGAGCTATATAGAGATTAAAAACAGTCATATAATGCTAAGCTAGCTAGCAAAAGCAGCCTATGCATAACACATAGGATAGAATAAAGCATGAATCTTAACTGTAAAGAGGATGCCTGTTATTTAATATTACCTATGATTTGTACACACAGAAGCAAATCTCAGGATTTAATATTGGTTCAGGCAGAAGACTTCAAACAATACTAATGTCTGAAATATACATGGAGCAGAGTATAAAGAAAAAAAGGAAAAGGAATTTCTTTCGCCTCAAACAATGGATAAAGCTGTTACTTGGAGCAAGTTTCAGTTTCATGTTCATACATAACTATGAGAAGGCTCATTGTTACACTTGAAACGATTTTGCATGAGCAGCAAGATCAAATATGCTAAAGAATACATGAATCTTGATGTCAATACTGTTAAATAAACCAGATAAAATGGATATAAACATCCACTAGCGTCACAAACAAGCATGTATGTTTTGTGATTGAGTAGGCAATGCAAGTAGTATCCCATATGAACAGCCTCATGACAAAAGAATATGTATGTATATATAGAAACACTTTGATCAACAGTGAAGGCAGAAATGAAACTGATGTGGCAGATTGTTCTTTGATATTGCCTTTGTAAGCATTGATAAAATATGATACTTTAAAAACTTTATTGACATCATGAATACTGAAAAGTTTCTATATAAGCTTAGAGTATACGGGTCTAACTCACTTTACCATGACAAGAAGAAATTCTAAGACGATCCTAATACCTCTTTGCTACAAAGAAACAAAATGTGAGGAAAGGAATAAGTGCAAGCAATTCTCTAAGATATCAAACTTCATAGACCACATACACATATGCAGAGCTCTAATCTCCTTATAAGAATGGTTTTAAGTTCCTTATATGAAGCTCTATGTTGAATGGATTATCAGCAGAGGTATGTTGAGTTCAAAACAGAATAGAGAACACCTAGGTGCAATAGGGAAGTCTGTTTTAAAAATTAGAAAAAGATTGGACTTTAGAAGGCAACAATTATAGTTAATACAATGTGGTGAATCCATCCAGATGGAAGGTCTGCGAAGCGAGAATTAGCACCATATTACAGAAAGCTTATCCAATCATCTTATCATCCAGTCTCTGCTGCTGCAACAATCTTCTTTCTATCCTAATCTGATATTCCAGTTTCGCCAGTTTTCTGTCTTCACTGCTCATAGAATAACTAATCAACCAAAAGACCTAGGAGCCAAGTCAGCAGATCTAGTGCATGCTATTTCGACATTTAAACTTACATTTGGCCATGTGTATGATTACAACTGGACCCTGTTAAAGAATAAGGAGTTCCAAATGTAACACGCAGAATAACAAACTAGAAAACCAGTACATACATGGAGGACCAATATCCTCAAAACTGCTAAATTATTCGTGTATATGATATACACATTCAACATAAAGAAGGGTACATCAATGACTTGGGCTGTTTTTGTGCAACAATAACCATGCCCATATTCTGATAATCTTAGAGATTGGTAACTACTGCGCTTGAGGTCTCAGTCCTACCAAGTACCCAACACTCTAAAGCTGTTCAAACATTGCGTAAAATATGATAATATTCAGTTATATGCTAAATGKCACTAATGCATATAAGGATTCTATCATGTACACAAAAAGTGTTTTGCCCAGTTGCAAGATTTCTGAATCTGTTGGGATAAATATATCGTTACAAGAAAGTAACAGCTACTGACTGAAAATCCACCCTCATGATGCACATAGACTTGGATGGAGTACCAAAAACAATGAAAACCCTAATTAAAATGGATTAGGGTACTAGAAACTTATGTTAGATAAAAGTATAACATAAGCGAAGTTAAAATAAGCCCTACGAACTAATGAAAATCCACCAAATTTCATGTTAAATACTCTGAACTCAAAATTCCTTGAGAGATATTACTCACGTTGTAAGTAACATCTGGTTTCTCAGACTGGCTAAGAAGAGAAATACTCGAGTCAGCCTCCGGTGGCAACACATCAACGAGAGCATTAGAATGGCGGTGCAACGCCACAGATGCCGAGGGCTTCAATAACTCCCGATTAATCGTGCTCAAAATCCTAACATAGTAATTAGACCCTGTAGTTGACCCCACAATGCCATTATTCTGGTCGATCATCTCCATAAACTGACCAATTACGAGCGGCACCGATTGGATCCGCTTAACCTCCTCTTGAGATCTAAGGAGTTCTCGCTTGAGATTTTTTTGCTCATCTTTAACGTACTCTTCCTGGATTTCAATGAACTCGATTTGGCGGTCTAGGGATTTGAGACGAGTGTAGAGGTCATCTTCGGTGTCGATTAGGGGAGAGTCCATGGTGTAGGGATTGGGAAGGGTTGGTGGTGGCGTTGCTGATGAGGAGGGTTTAGGCTCCAGAACCATAGTCGAAGCCATAGTCGTCGGTGATGGTGGTGGTGGTGGCGGCTGCGGCGGCAAGGCGGTGAAATTTCTGAAGATGGGAGTCCGGAGAACGATAGAGAACGAAATACATTAACGAATAACGATGTCGTGGGCAACAATTTATCGTATTTTAACCACAAAACTTTTTATTTTTATAATCTGACCACAAACCATTTTCTGTTTTTCTATTTGTTGCCCATTTTTTATTGCTACATTTCCTAAAAGACATTTTTGCCATTTAATTGTTTATTTAAGTGGCTATTTTCATGGTTTAAACTAAATTTCGTATAGATAACTTTGTTTGTAAAAGTACTTATTAACTTATGTGGTATTAAACCGGAGTTAAATAAAACAGGATTAAAATTATAAACTGGTAATAAGCAGTTTTTCATAAGTCATGAAGAATTAACTTATCAAAAACATCTTATTATCGGTTTGGCACCGGTATAAGCAATCACAAACACCCCCTTAATCGGGAGGGTTAGATTTGGAAAAAAAAATTGGTTTTCAGTATACCAAATCGAGTTCTTTCCCAGACCTGGGTTGAGTTCTTCATCAAATCGATTTCTTCACCAAATCTGAGAACTGAGAAGGGAGAGTGACTGAAGACGGTTGAGCCAAAGGTGAGATACCGAGGAGGGGTTAGTGACGGGAGCAAGAAATAAGAAGCGTACATGGGGGTTTGTTATTTGTTTTTTATTTTTCTTTTTATTGTTATTGTTATTCTTAGCAAAACAGGTCCTTGAGACAATTACAAATTTCATAATACAGTGAAAATATGAAAAATACTTCTAAGTTAACAAAGATTTTAAATGACTGTTAATATAAGAGACCTGATCCATAAAAAATATGAAATTCAAACACAGGGATGAATTTGTAATTTACTCTTATTTCTAATTTTTAAGGATGTTACATGGACCACTTTGATGCGACCAAAATCCAAACTAAATCAAAATCAATTTGTTGACCAAGCTTTTGTGACTGTATATACCAAAGTAAACAGAGCTGAGAATAGATATAAACTAAGATACAAGAATGATACTCGGAACCAACATATGGATCAAGAACAAATCTTTAATTTATACACACGCTTTCGGGTTTCTCGTATAGTTACATATAGTGACATAAACAACAGATAAAAAAGGCAAATCATGATTAAAGAACAGTTTGAAGGGTTTAACTAAAAAACGAAAAGAAATCACACTCTCACACCAGCTAACCTAATTCTTCGGTAATTCAAAAATAAATTTTACGAGACTAGGAGATGGAGAATCGTCTCCTCCTAGGCTTTGTGTGGTCAACGTCGTCACCATCATCGACGATATTAGAAGTGTCCTTTGATCCATGTTTGAAAGGATTCAACTTTCCCAAGGTCTTGGACATCGACGAGAAAAAACGATGTTTCTTTGGGTTACCTATTCTAGCAGACGTTGATCCTACTTGATTCTTGTGTTGTATATCAGATATATAAGCCTTCATTTGCAATAACTCAGATTTTAAGGCTTCGTTTTCTTTAGCCAATGACACGTCTGCTTGTACTTGGGACCTCATGCTCAATGCATCAGGCGTGTTGTTCTCGGTCTTCCCACTTCTAATCTGTAATTGATCGAAGTACAGTGCGTGCAAAACTATCTGTACGGGCAATCTTTTATTCTGTGAGGCGTGTACCCTTGCTTCGTAGGAGAGTCTTAGTGGGTCCATTGCGCTACAAACTTTCTCACGCTCAATTTCATCCAAGTTTGGATGAGCCTGAAAAGATAAAAGTTGAATAATTACTAATTGAACATATGTGTTTGTATTCTTAAAGACTTTGGATTATGCGATACCAGCCTGTTTTCGTAAGACATGTAAAACCACAAAAAAAAAAAAAAAAAGTAAACATTCATAGCAAAATACTGAGAAGGTAAACCATTCACAATATTTTTACTATAAAAATTTTGGTTTTTTTTTTTTTTGTTTCTTAGTATTAAAGGTTTGGTGTTATTTTATTGCTCACCAAAAATTCTCATATAACGATTGCATATAATGTGATCAAAATTGAAGTAGAATCGCTACCTTGAGGTATATATCAATGGCGCGATAAAGATCATCATCCAATTTTCGTGCATTTTTAGGCACCAAATTGGCAATTCCGTTGAATTTTGAAATGCTCAATTCAGCAACCGTCGCGATTTCACCGAGGTACGCATCAACCGTCTTTGCAACCCTAAGCACGGCGGTCGACGAGATTTCTCTGAAATCACCGCCGTTGAACACCGATACGCTCTTCTCCTTCTCCACGAATCCGGAGATGATCCTCCTTACGCTCTCCAAGTCATACAATGTTTCTCCGTCAAAAGTGTAAGACAACACAAGAAGGTCATCGACGGTGACATGTTCTAACATAGCCGATATCCGTTTCTCCAGCTGCTTCTTCCAAATATCGTCGTTTTCAAGGAAGATTGCCGTGCGGAGGAGGCAACAAAGGAAACTGATAGGAAAAGATGCTCGTTGATTTTCGATGGGGAGTATAGCAATGATCGATTCTAGGAGCTTTCTTTGCTGGTTTCTGGTGCCGGAGTCCATGGAGATTGAAGATTTTCTACTGTTACCGGATTGGTCGCGAACGAGGTCCGGCAACGCTCTCTCGGTGTAGGTTATGATAGCGCTAGCAATTGTGAGTGCTTTTGCGCCTCGTGATTTCATCGAAGCAATTATTTTCTCGAAGATTTTTATGTGGACGATCGATAGTTCATCTGTCCACCAATTCGGCGGTGAACGGCTCGGAAAATTCGCTTCGTTACAAGCCTGCAAATGGAATAGTGATCCAATTATATTTCTCAGATCTACTAGGATTTCGATTTTCGAAACCAATTTTGAGGATTTCTCAAGATAACGAAGATACATAAACACGTATCCTATAAGTTACCTTAGCACTCGCCACTTCAACACATCGTTGAACGATGTTGATCTGTTCAGCTATGGGAAGAAGATCTTCACAGGATTTTAAGACAACAACAGCCCCGGAGAGGCTCGTTAGCGCTACCTGAACAAGGAAGTCGTCTGTCCGGCCGGCGAGGTTGCCGTCACAGTATTGGTCAGTCATGTCGAGATACTCTGCAGCACAGCGTAGTGCTGCTACGTTATGTACAGTGATTTCGAAATTGACACCATAGCAGAACTTTGCTGCTTTCTCGAAGATTTCAGCTCCTCCGGGGATACTCGAGAGATCTAGCCTAGCCATATCAGGTTCTTTCGATTCGAGTATTAATCTTCGTATGTAGTTGCTCTTTGCTACTAACATGAACTGACATAACAATAATTGATCTATCAGTACTTATGGACAAATCTGGTTTCTAAAAGTTATTCCGTCATGGATTTATCATACCTTGTGAAGAGGGAACTTTGCTTCACCGACTTGTACAACAATATCAGTTGGGATGTCTTGAGAGAAAACCCTGATTAAGAACAGATGAAAGAAAACAACAATGAGCGTTTTGAAAAACTTAAAAGAGACAAGCTAAGATGATAACACTCTTTTAGGGTAATTTGTAAGTTTTAAGTTGTGGATGATTACCATTGTCCAGTTCTCTCCATTGCAAGAGAAACTCTATTGGTGTTCTTGGCATGAGCAGCCATGGCTTCAAAGATGTTGGGAAGATAAGGCGATGATGATCTCTCGTGTTACGGGTTATATAAGGATGATAGTATTAGTAATAGAATAGTCGTACATGTTGCCTTTTTTTAATCCACTCCTAGTAGGCTTTTGTTTGGACATTAGGAGGAAAGTATTACATTGTGGTCACCTACTTAGACATTTTTCGTTATCCAACTTTATTATTAAATATCAAGTAAAACAAATTGCATCATGTTACCTACTTCTTTATCCATGTAATGACTCTATGGTTACTTACCTAATGGGTATATGATAGGTGTAAAAATAGAATTTATGGGAATTTGCTTTCTTTGGCCCCTTCTTTTAACTTGCTATTTGTAATAAATTTGATTAGTATCATACAAGATTCTACTGATGATAGTGCCAATGTTTTTCTACTACTTGAATTCAGGATTTTAGTCCAACTTACAGTAATCACACTTAAGGCTTGTTTACATTTTGCTTAATCAACTTAATCGATGATTTATTTGTTTGATTATTAGTTAATGTTTATTTTTTGGTTAAGTTGCAAGTAATACCTAGATTTTTCTGTATTGAATGAACCATCATGTATTTATTGTTCTATGTTAAGTTATTTTGTTCTAAATATATCTTAATAAAATAAAATAAAAAAAATACCCTCTTGGCTCATGTAGGTATAGCTTGAAACAAGTATTAACTTTACAACGTTTATTTGATCTTTTTCATTATCTATACTATATTATAAAGCATTTGGCTAAA